ACTGCTCACTTCTTGAACTTTCCAAGAGCAAAACTCCACTTTAACACAGGATGCATGTTGGTTTTATTAATTACAATATAAATAATACTTTCTGCAATATCATATGTTTCAGTCTCTGAATCTATATCCGAAGAAAGTTCTGAAGTTTGGGGAATACTTTTAGTGCATTCTGTGTAGTCACTTTTATAACTTCTTCAACTGGAATTCCTTTAATTTTGGCAACATATTCTGCAGCAATGTAAATATTTTTTGGTTCATTTCTCACCTGAAAACAAAGAAACAAACCAACCAAGTTACAGATCCCTACAGACCACAGGCGTTTCAGAGTCAGTACTTCCTGACACAACTTCAGTCACATCGTGGCATGTGTTCCAGAAAAATTACACGAATCTATTCTTCTGGTTTACATTCCCTCGGTAACCTCTTTCACCTCTTGTATCCATGCTTAAACTACTTCACTCTCCTGTACCAGTAACTAACTTCCATGAGGTGTGGGTTTGGATATACATACAAAGTCCTTCCCCCCTCATCATTTACCTGTTTTTCAGGCCCCAGAGCAGGAGAGTCAGTTTCCAAGCACATATTTTCCAGAGGTAGCTGTTTCACAAGCTTCTGCTTCTTGAAGAAAATAAGACAGCTATTAATTGCTTTATGTACTTAAACCTGTGGGAAAAAATTATGAAAGGAGGACATCTCCTGCATTTAACAGCAACATCAAAAGACTTCGGTGCCACTGCCTGCATTTTAGCAACAATTTCTGAATGGAAGCAAGAATACCAGGAGCTGCTCAAGAAGTCCCTTCAAATTAGGATTCTCCTGTTTCCTAAATATCTGAAGTACTCTTATCTCAACACTGAATCCATTGTTACTTATTAAATCATGCAGTTATATTGCAGTAAACACACTGCATTTAGAGCTGCCAATGCAATTTTGCTATTTTCTGTGTATATATGTGTGTACCTTTGCTTTCCTTCCTCCAAGTTCCCAACCTCACCCCCATCTATATCCATCCCTCACACCTCCTCCACTTGAATGAAGCCTTTTCCTTTCCTACATTTCCTGAGCTTATCACAGAAAGTGATGATGGTGCAGGATGGAAACAGATTGCCACCCCAAAAAAAGAGGTTAGCAAAGTTTGTAGCAGCCCAGAATAGAAATTAAAAGAGCAGTCTCACCATATAAAGCACTGAATCTGAACAATGCCATCTTTAAGCAATTTAGCTGCTTCTTTGCTTGTGATAATCAGAATTCTTCATAAGTCTGCAACTTAGCCAATTGTGAATAGATTTCATTTAGAACAAAAAGTGCCACAGCTCTGAGACAGAAACTAGTTGTTTTCCATGTGTCATGTCCCTACTCTAAAACAGTACAGTGACAGAAGCCGCCAAAGAAGAGTTCACCAGAAACCACATTAAAATGAGAAGAAAAAACCCCCTTGTTTCTCAGGAACAGCTGAGCTCTTTTAGCCAAAATTTCCCCTCAGAAGCCTAGCTAAGGCAAAAGTCCCAGACAGAAATTCAGCCAAAGTAAAAATGTGCAATGCTATAGCAACTGAAACTTCTCCTGAGAAGTGTCAGGTTACAGTAACTGTATGCAGGCACTGCTGGTCTCATCAGCCATCATGGTAAGCTGTCAGCTACTACCTGCAATTGCCAGGCAGTGAGAAGGAGCAGACCCCAGATGGAATCAGGACAAAATGTTACCTGTTCACTCCTTATAATGGAAGGAGGAATGGAGAAGAAGTATCCAGCTTTCACCCCTTCCATCGCTACAGATGGCTTCCCATCAAATGCATGGAGCAACACCTTTGTAGCACCTTGGAGAAACGAAGCAAAACAAATGATCAGCAGGGTTACAGAGCAGGGCTGCTATGTCAGCTTCCAATGGGACCTTGGTCGCATAAAGAATGAATACAGAATATCTGCACTACTGCTCCCAGGTTTCACGCACACAAACTGAAGTGAGGACATGGCACAGCTGAAGAAATTCTGTTGACAAAAGCCGTGACAGAGAAAAATGCATTAAAAGCATACCTTGTTCCTTCAAGAGATTAATGGTTGGCCTTCCAGCTGAGCGGGAATGAACATTTCTGCACAGCAAGGAGAGGCCAGGCATTAGGAAATTCAGCCAAATACTTTTTTTTTTTTTTGCAAACATGAACAAACTAACAGCACCTTGGCATGGAAGTAATTAATCTGTATTACACCTTTTATCAGGAAAAAAAATGGAGATACATGTATGAATCATTGTAGCTAGTGAAGATATAGGGACAACATAGCAAGGACAGGACACAGAAGGCGACAGTATTGAAGTGTAAACACAGGGAAAATTCTATAATTAAATCTTAAACTGGAGATTGACTGGACACTAATGCCAGTTTAATCCATCTAAGAAAAGTTCTGTGGGCACTTAGTAACTATAAATCTTGGGAAATATTTCCACATGTTACTGAGATCTGGCAAATTCTCCTACTAGTATAAATAAAACCTACAAAGGCAAATCCAGTCTTCTTGCCAACTCAATCTGCTTGATCAAAACCTGTCTTTGTCCTTCCTTCTGTTCATCGGTGCTGGCAAATCTGGGAGTGAAATCTAGTCCAACCTACAGTACAAGAAGAGAAGGGAAAAAATTTTACAGACCTAACACTTAACAAAACCATTATTTCATATATAAAGGCAAAAAAATGCTTCAAAATTGCAAAGCATTTCAAAGTATGTATAGTACAGACTGAAATTAAAACAAGCTCAACTGTAGCTTAACTGAGAAAAGAATCCATTCTCAACCATAAGCTCTTCCAACTGCGAAAGCATTTGTGGGCAGATAGTTACTAACAAGGGTATTTAGCACTTTAATCTGCAACTGGTTTTCTGGGGTTTTATATTCTATTGAATATTATTCAGAATAAGTCTCAAATCTGGATCTCCAGTATAAGTAAAATTTCTGACTCAAACCCACAGCTTTAGTCCAAACTCTAGCAAAAATAACCCATTACTTCTATACTTTTTTGATCTTAACACGTTCAGGCAAAATTTAAACTCTGTCAAAGCAGCCCCACTCAGTTACACCAACCAAAGTCTTTTATATACAGTACAACATGGCAAATTCAGCTACAAAGCTCTGCAAAAACTGCTTTTTCTGCAGCCACTGCAGAACCAGACATAAGTCCCTCCAGTACCAACACACAAACAAAGGCAGTCTACCCTAAAGCTTTCAAGCCTCAATTCCTTTATAAACAAATGTTAGACAGGGGACAATACATGGATACAGACAGATGAGGGATCCAGAAAAAAGAACTGCACAAGTCAGTGAGGTGTACTGAAATCACAGCTTAGCCTAACTTTGTCAGGGAAGAAGGCAGGAAGGCTCTGCCTTCAGGTGTAAGACGATACAACAAAATTATGCAATCTTCCTATTACTCCACCAGCATAAATTCCATATATTTTCTAATAATAACAAGGAAGGAAAGGAGGGAATCAGGCAAATCTATGAAGGAAAGCACATTAAGAGAATTAGAAATCAGACTTAGTGCTTGTTCAGACTGAAAGCAATACTTATACTAGCATACACAAAACCAGTTTTTTTTACAAAACTAAGTTTTTGTAATTCTGGTGACAGCTGCTGCTGAAGAGGTTTAAACAAGTTGTGGAATTCTACTCACTTCTCCGATCCCCACCAATTTGTCTTTGTAAAGTTCTATAAGCGGCAATGCAGCATCCAGATCCTGCGGGAACAAGTTAAAGATGCCTTTACAAGGGGGAAGGGTTATGAACTCAGCATGATGATTAAACTGTTCTTCATTATTCTTAAATTCTGTGCTTTGGAACTTGCTATTATTGCAAGCTATGCGGTCAGATTTTAGAAACCTTCAGGATTTGACTTCTTTACTTAATAACCCTTTTATCATATATGTATACAACACTTATTTGAAATACTCCTAATTTCTAGCTATCTTTTCACAGTAGCAGAAGAGGTAATTAAAACAAGGCCCATAAAAAATCTGATAACATTAAATGGCTGCAAACAGCCAAACGGCTCCCTGAGTTTTTCAGGCTAAGGTAACAAACAGCAGCCTTCCAGTTCCCATGTTAACAAAGGGACATCTGCAAATGCTGTTTGCTGTAAGCAAAGCGCTCACTCGGGATTTTTTTAAACCATTTCACTGCAGTAATAGGGCCAGATGACTCCAGTGAACAGTTCTGCTTTAGGACTAACATGGACAAATGGATGTGCTGAGAGACCCTGGGGTTTGGTCCACTGGGTCTCCTGCATCACAGGGAGCAGAAAAATCACTGGGCAGAACTGAAGGTAAATCAGGCAAACCAGAGCATCCTGTCGTCTGTCCTGAAAAGTCCCAGCCGTATTTTATAGCCTGTGTTTTACCTTCAAAGTAACACTGCGCTGCTCCTCTGGAGAAACTTCTTGAACGGGATGAACGCCCAGGCATGGCAAGACAAAACCTGGGAACCTAGACACGGAACAGGGATCCGCAGTGTGAGAGACCCCAGAGAACCCAAGTTTAAGCCCAAGAAATCCCAGAGAACCCAAGTTTAAAGCCAAGAAGGGCTGGCCTGGTCGAGGAGGAGGAGAGCAGCGCGTCCCCCATCACCTCCCGCCGAGGCGCGGACACCGCGCCCGGGACACGGGTGGGCGCCGGGACCCCCCAGCCGGCCTCGCACCTCTCCGACAGCTCCACGACGCTCCGGAACTCGCCCGCCTGCTCCGACACCACCACCAGCGCCGACACGGCCGCCTACGGCACACAGAGACCCCCGACCCGCTGAGACTCCCCGGGCAGCGGGGCCACGGGGGAGCGGGCAGGGGGTCCCCGCCGGCCGCCTCACCTGCTCCGCCGCCCGCACCACGGTCGCCACGTCCTGCAGGAGACACGCAGCGCCTCAGCGCCCGGCCTGCACACACACCCACCCACCGCCACCCCCAGCCCCGCCCGGCCGCCGCGCCTCACCGTGTGGAAGCAGGGCGCGGCGAGGTGGCAGTGACAGTCCACCGGCCCCGCCATGCCGCGCCCCGGGCGGAGCGCCGGGGCGGCCGCGGGTTCCGCTTCCGGGACGGCATTTTCCCCGCGTCCCGGGCGGGAAATGGCGGCGCCGCCTGGGCCGGGGCCGGGGCCGGGGATGGATGTAGAGGGGGCGGCGGTGGCGCAGCGGGACCGGCGGGTGCGGTGCTGCTCGCGGCGCAGGCTGCGCGACGTGATGGAGCTGTGCGCGCCCTTGGTGCGGGCCGTGCTGGAGGGACAGCCCGGCGGGGCCGCCGCCGAGGGAGACGCGCTCTGGGTGAGCGGGGAGCGGGCTCGGCCGGTGCCGGCACAGAGCGGCCCCGGGGCCGGCCCTCGCCAGCGGGGCGGGGGAGGCTGTTCGCCCCGAGGTGGCCCTTGCCGCCTTCCCGAGGGAGGGATGGAGGGATTGAGGGATGGATTCCAGCCTCTCCCGTGTCTTGCAGGACTTCGAGACAGCGCTGCGGGAGAACGTGACCATTAACGGGCAGCTCTGGGAGGAGGCCACGGATGACCCCAGCCCGCCGAGCGGTACGCGCTGGTTTCCACTGATTTCCTGCTGGGCGGGTTTGTTTTGGTTCGGTTTGGTTTTGCCCGGAGGCAAAGGGTCAGGTTGAAAGGGGAGGTTCCAACTTAATGTACGGAAGTAAAAATTCGCTACTGGGTTAACTGGGCGTTGGAAAAGGCTGCCCAGGGAGGTTGTGTAGTCTTCAGCACAGAAGGCTTCCAAAAATCAACTGGACAAAAGTGTTCTGAGCAACCTGGTTTGAAGTGGGTGTTGACCCTACTGTGAGCAGGAGGTTTGAGTCACCTGCTGAGGGCCCTTCCAGCCCTGAGTGTTGGGGGCATTGTCCAAGATACCTTCCTATCAAGGGACCCTAAGAGATTGTTGCTGCTATTTAATATACAAATTAAGTGTTGAAAATTATTGATGTATAATAATATATAAACATATGTAATGTACACAGTGTGATTGTAATGATTGTCTTTTAAATAATATTAGTGGAGATTCTTGGTAGTCTGGTGTCCAAATAAAGTTTCAGTGTGCTTCATTTGCTTACCTGTGTTGGTGCAAGTTGTCCTTTACCTGCAACTTGATTCTTTTTACAGTTGCACAAAGCTAAAAATACAGATATAGTGAACTAACTATGGAGAAAGAGCTCCTTGAACTGGTTTTTAGTGAGGAAGCTTTGAGCAAACCTGGGCTCTGAGCAACCTGATCTAGTTGATGTCCCCACTTATTGCAAGGGGCTTGGACTAGATTACCATTAAAAGTCCCTTCCAGCCCATTCTCTGATTCTGTGAAGCTTTTGCAGTTGTTGTTCTAAAATGATAAAACTCCGACTCCTTTGACAAGGTCAAAAATGCACTGGTCTCATGATGCAAAATGCTCAACCGAGGTACTGTCATCTGCCTGCAGCTGACATAAAACAGGTGTAAGGACTATATTGTGCTTTTTAATTTGACAAAAATTTACTTGTGTGCCTATCTGTGATGTGGTTTGAATCACCAAGAGATCTGACATTTCGTTCCTTCGGTGTTTACGTTAGCCAGTGGCTCAAGTCTTTTCTATTTATACTTAAATGATTTCATGGTGATCCTTGAACAAACAACCAAAACAAACTCACAAACTCTTAAAACCTTGATTTTGCCTTTTGGAGGTTTGCAACGACCTGATTCTGCACAGAGTGACCCCGAGAGTTCATTCTGCTTTCTTCTATAACTTATTTTTTTGCAGTTTGTAACAATGATGTGTGATATCAGGAAAGTGCAGGCGTTTACTTGTCTAAATTTTGAGACCAGTTTAAAACCAGTATCTTAAGCTTTTAAAATTGTTAAGTTTAATTTGCAATCTTGTAGAAGTTAAGTCCCTTTAGTAGAGTAGCAGTAATAAAAACACTAGTTCACAGCTGAAAATATGTTTTAGGTGTTAAGTCTGACCCTGACATTGGAAAAAAGAGCTATGAAAGGTAGCTCCTACCATGTTTTCTCTTGCTCCTCAGGTGTTTAAAGCAGGCATGTATATATTTTGCAAATTGTTGTGACTAGAAATTGCAGATGTTGTCAGGATGCAGAGTATTTCCAGGAAGTGTGTCTCATTAAGGTGGCATTGTATTTTGTCATGTTAAACTGCATATTTGTGCTCTGTGTGGTATAAAATCAGTCAGGCTTCAAATTACTGCTTGTACAGTTGGAGTTTGTTTAATACTTGTAGATCATACAGATAAAGCATTTTTCTTGCTGCATCTTGCACTGCTTTTCTTCAGTTGAAAAACATGTGATCTCAAAAGACAGCTGTTTCTTTTTAAGACTTTCTTCATAGATTCAGAGTTCATAGAGAAATACATTTTTTATTTTTGCCCACATGATTCTCCCCCTTCATGCCCGCATCTCATTTACTTCAAAATAACTGGCCAGCATCAAGTTATGCTCCAATTTCTATATCGCCTTAACAAGGAGATTCAAGACATATATGCATCTCTTTGTTGATAGTAATGCATGATTTTTTTATTTCAGATATAATTTTTTTTTTCCTACAAATTAGTCTCCAAAAAAAATTGTAGGAGAATTCCTGCAACAACTTTGTGTGTTTGTCATTTTTAGGTTCCAACATTAAAATTCTTGAAGATCAGTTTGATGAACTAATAGTAGAGACAGCAACAAAGCGTAAACAGTGGCCTAAAAAGATACTGGTGCATGCTATCCAAACCATGAAAGCTGAGCAAGAGATGTTGGTGAGTAACCTAAAATTTTCAGAAAAACTTTGCATATAGCAGCTGCTGACCATGTGTAACTTGAAGAAATAAATCATCTAATATTGACCTTTAAGCTCCTTCCCATGGTTGCTTTCGGTTATCTGTCATATAATTAAATGATTTTGTTGCATTAATTGGTTCTTCATTAAAATAACGATTACTACAAAGCTATGAGTGAATTGGGTCTGTGGCACTGTTCAGCAAGTTACTTAAGCAGATTGTTTCAATCTGGTGCCTCATGATTTACAAGCCAGTATGCACCTATTGTCACGTGTTTCTGAAGTCCTTGCCCAAAGGCTGGTTGAAGTGCCAAATGTTACACTACATACAGATAAATAGTATCATGCACAGTATACGGTGGTTAAAAAGAATGTCTGTGACTTCCTAAGTGCTTTTTTTGCTACATTGTAACTACATTAAGTACTTTCAAGAAAGAAAGAATAAGAAGGCAATGAAGGTTAATGAATAAGTGCAGTAATTTCTGTGGGGCTTTTGACACTCAGTGTAAAGTTATTACTGGCATTAAACAACCCAGTCCTGTCTTTGGTTGCTAGATTTCTTCCCTGCAGTTACGTTAGGCCTACCATTTGCTTACCTCCTTATTAATTAGGATTCCTTTGGCAAAAAAAAAGAAAATGGACAAGAGGCAAATACTGGCACAAGTTGCCCAGTGAAACTGTGGAGTCTTCATCCTTGGAGAGATTCAGGCTCTGAGCAACCTGCACTAGTTGGCCCTACTTTCTGTAGGGTGTTTAGATGCCCTTTCCAACTTCGGTTATTCTGTACTAAAGAAAATAGGGATGCTTTTTGAAAGTTGTTTAAGAGCCTGCGTTGCATTTCTGAGGACTAAAACCAACAAACATTAACTCTCTAGTTAGCCAGGCAGAGATGATTTACAGTAAAGAAAAGGGCATAGGTACATATTTGTCTTAAACCTGAGGTATCATAAAAGACCATATATGTCAGAAAATCTCTGTTTTGTCATATATCAAGTATGTTAAACAAAGTCAGCTCAAATAAAACATGCTATTACGAACATCGAGATTTAGCAAGGCAATTTAACCTTTCTGCAAAAGGAAAGCTATGTGCTACCTGCGTCCCACAGTGGATTAGTTATTTAGAATGCCTCTCATGCTACCTTTTTACTCTTGCTGATCTCTTCAGAGTTCACATCACTCTACAGCTGGATTATTTCAATTAAAAGTGGCTCCGAAATATAGAAAGTGTACTTTATCTCTCTAAGGATGTATAGAAATAGAGTCTGTCTCTGTAAATGAAGTGTCTTTTTTTTTTTCCTCTCAGAGCTACTTCATTGAAGGTACTAGTGATTTCTCCGCTTTTGATTGAGGATGTTTTAGCTAACCCTGTGGTGCGTGTTTTCTGAGGCATAAAGAGCAACTATGAAGGCGTGGTTTATCTGGAGAGAACTACTAATTTATGGTGGTGATCTCCATGTAATTCCCAAAGCAAGAGATCACCCTGTGGATTTTCAGTCAATATGTTCTCTAGTGTTTGAGGCTAATGCAAGCAATGTTTGTTCTTCTGCTGAGATGATGTGTGAACCGTGAAAAAATTTCTCTGGGAAAACTACAAGGGGGAATTGGTTTTGCTTGAAGAAGGTTGAGGGACAGCTCCTGAACTGGAGAATACTAACTTGCTGATAATATAACTTGTGTTCCCACATCTTTGGTATTTTTTCCTTCTTCCCTGTTAGTTCTAATTCCACCTTTAATATAGCTAAATATTGGTTGTGTTCATTTATTATTAGTTTACTCCACGTCTCAGTTAACTGCTGTCAAGTCACAAGACTCACAGTTTGTGAAGCACAGTGTTCTTACTTTTGCATAAGTAATTGCAGGGCTAGAATGAAGTCATTTAAGTAGTTTTCTTTTTCTTAGCTTTTTGTCTTAATGTACCCTTTGTTGGAGTTTGTGCCTCTGTGAAAGCATGCTGTTTTTGTGAATGGCCCCTTAGAAGCCAGAGCAGCTCTTGTTCCTCAGTCGTGCAGCAGGTGGCAATGCTTCTTCTAAAATGCTTGGATTTCAGTTCTGCTTTAATAATTAGAATTCTGCAAACTAAAGCAGAGTCTGGAGATATGTTTACAGAGAATGTAACTGTGTTAACCAGAGTACTGTTTTCAGTAGCTGAACCTTTAATATATTCTTGATGTAAATAATTCCACTACTGTCTCCATTATTCTGACTGCTCTGTGTATATTAGGTATCTGTTAAAGCAAGAGGGTATTTAAGAATTTTTCCCTTTTTTTTGAATATGCAGAAGCTCTACAAGCCTGTGGTAACACCAGAAGAGATAAGATCTCAGCCTTCTCAAGGTAAAGATTTTGTGGGTACGGCAGCTGTACTGAGGAAACACTGCCTACTTACTGGCTAGCTGTAAATGTTTAAGAAGTTTTCTTTCTTTGAACTTGTTTAAAATTATTGGCTGTTTAAATAATTAACTAAAATAGCTACAAGTTTCTCATAAATGAGTGTATTGCTGCCTCAGTTTTCTTGTTTCCATTTCTCTTGTTCTAAGTGCAGTCTGCAGTGGGACACTGTACTTAAAGACAAAAGCTGGCCACTCTGTGTGTGTGTATTGGGTAGGAATTGTCACAGAGCTACCCCCAGTAGTTTTCCTTACTTCTTTCCTTCACCACTGGTGGAGGCCGGATGGGGAACTAGTTGGATCACTGACATTATACTTTGGCCATTCTTATGTTCCTTGTACATGAATACTAGAAATGCTTCAATCTCTCTTCCTAATCAGTCAGTTTCTTCAGGGAATTGAAAGCTGTTGTGTAGTACTCAGTGATGGCAGTATTGACATCACTTGCAAAGTAGGAATAACTTGCAGAGTAGGACACAGATTTTATCCTGCCCATGTCACGTGTAAGGGTTGATGAAGGCACAGAAGTGCAAACAGCATCATAAGTTTGCTGCATGCTTGTGAAAGATGCCTTGTACAAAGTCTTTGAAACAAGGTGGTGGATTTGGCAGTGGGTGATTGGGATGTGCTTTCTTGAGGCTGGCCTTAAGAAATGGAAAGTTTTGTGTTGCCTGTTCCTAAGTATGGAAAAATGACAGAATTTGCCAGTGCAGTTCTAAGTTGAAAAGCTTGGTTACAGAACCCTCACTACGGATTACTGCCAGGATGTAAAGCTGGTGTAACAAGCAGTGGTGCTAAAAGTTTGAGAAGCTGAGCTTAATCTTCCAGTTCTCACCCTGCTAATCTAACTTCATTCTAAGCATAATTTCCTTTTTGGTAAATGGAGACATTGCTTCCAGAAATGCCAGCCTGTGCAGCAGAGCAGCAAGTAAAAGCAATAAAAAGTGTCAGTTCATATCTGGGTTCCAAGATCTATGCTTTTCTGATGTGAATTAACTACTTCTTGAAAGTTAGTAGCAGTTTGCACCATGGTATTGTCTTTTTAGGTTTGGTAACAGCAAAGTTGTAGCAAAGATAGCGTAGAGTTTGTGCTGAATTTTAGTATTAGGTACTCTTTGGGAAGTTTATGTATCCCAGTTTAGCAAGTACAGTGGCCAGAAACCAAAAATGTTTAGATTACTCAGTACCTTTCGTTTCCTTTTTTCATTTCCCTATGTTTTGGAAAGCCTTGAACACTGAGGAATATAATGCCATCTATGTCAAGCTGAACTCCTGCAGGCAAATTTCATTTAACTGTGTGTCAGCCTTTCCGTATAATAATCCAAATAATTACTTCTATTTTTACTTAACTCCTTTCTTGCCATTTCATAGCATCACCAGTCTTCTCATCCCAGCGCTCTAATGTAAGAGTGCTTCATTATGGATATAGCCTTCTTTAAGGAATGTCCATCCATAGGCCTCTGGGGTGTGTTTTATGAGGCTGCTGTTGGACTGTTTATTCTTCTAAACTCTGATAATAACATTTTAGTATTCATGTTCATATATAGATTATATGTTCCTAAACCATGTCTGATCAGCACATTGGACATGTTGACAGTTTAACAAACACTGTCTCTCGCTGCTCACCACCTTTCAGCAGGGAGCCACCGTAACCCTGTGCTAGAATACACTGACTGACTTAAATTATCTCCAGCAGCAGCAGAGAGATTGACTTCAGAGCGGAATGCTGTGTTTAACCCTGAAAGGGTTTAGGGGTGTGTGCAGCCTCTAACACTGTGTCCTACTGCAGACACTAAAACCCTACAGAAAAGTAATAGGAGTGGAGATGAGGCTGCTTGGTTCCCAGAAGCACACTGGTCTGCTTATTTTAAGTTTTGTGGATGGTGGAGAACATGCAAAACAGTTTTATGATAGCTGAGAGTTTAACTCTTGCATAAGGAATTATTGTGTTGATGATCTTGTCATATTGCTACTGCAATCAAATATATGCCATATTCCTCCCAGTGTTCTGCACCTGCTGCCTGCTTCAGTGTTCCTGAAAGCTTCTTTCCCTTTCCCCTTCCTCTTTCCTTCCTAATTAGCACAGGAGAATTAATGCAGTTTGTGTTGTTTATGCTTGGTTCTTTTTGGTGGTAATCCTTGGTAAATTAAGCCAGAAGAAAAAAAGTAGCCTTTATTGTAAAAGCCAACTTGCTGGAGACATAAGATTATTTATTTCCCCTCCTTAAAAGGATTTCCTTAGTCTCATTTTCTCCACAGTTGTGTTTATTCACCTTCTTTTGTGTGGTTTTTATCAAATGTAATGTAAGCTTGAAAGTTTTGAAAACAAATCTTTTTGTATAATTATTTATTTCTTAACAACTGTTCTCTTCCTTTATGTCAAATACTGGCTTTGTGTCTCATGTTTTGCATAAGCTGTAGGTTTTCTAGGGAAGAACTCTGTGGCTTGTCATAGTTGGGACTGCTAGACAGTACTGCATTTTGAGTGATGAAGAATAATACTAGTGAGATAAAGCATATCAGTTGTCATCCTCAGTGCTATAATGAAAGCCAGGTGCTGCAGGTTTAAGTTTTATACAGGGACTCTATTGCTTCTCTGTCCAGTTTCTGATAGCAAGTAGTGGGGGGGGGGAGCTACGTTTCAGAAGGTGATTTGGGCTTTATGTTTTTCTGTAGATGCTCACATTGCAGATCTGAAGCAGGTGGCAGAAATGGTATCCAAACAGATCAGCGCAGCAATGAAGGTGAGATCTCTGTGCGCTCCAAGAGGACATGTTTTTATTTTCTTGATCTGATAATATGTCACAAAACAGGCTTTCTAACTCACCCTCATGATAGTTTTTTACAAAAAAGCCTGTGTGTGTACTTCTGAAGCAGGTACAACTGCTGAAGTTGTCTATAAAGCATTCCCTGTCACGTGGTAGTAAGGAAGATTACCCTGTCGCTATAAGAAATACTTTTTACAGCGATTTTGGAACCTGCAGCACCTGAAAAATAACACATCTTTTGAAGACCTGTACGACATCATGTAGAGTGTGACGTGTTACTTCAGTACCTGCTTAGGCATCAGCTGTGGTGTTCCTATGATACTTACTCTGCCTAGAGATGTCATGAGGGAACATTTAACCTTGGCATAGTCTTTGCATGGCCTCTGGGCACAGACTCTTGTCACCACTGAGGTGGTAGGTCTGCATTCCCAACCTTCACCCACCATCCTAAGGATCATCTCTACAGACACAGAAACTTTTGTCCCTGTCAGAATCTAATAAACATACTTCATTCATTGTAACTGTTACTTTTCCTATGTAACTTGAGATACTTGGGTTTGTTTTTGCAGTCTCTTCCAGCACTCACAGAAAGAGCAGAAGGTCTTTCCCAAGTGTTAACTTGGCAACCAACCTTGGAACTCTGCAAGCTGCGGCAAGAAATCTTTGCCGGTGGCAAGGAAAAGGAAGAAAGTAACGTCCAAAATTTTGTACCACCAGGAGAAGTCACACCAACTGACGCTAATACCAGTAAAAATCCTTATGTTTTGCTAAAAAGAAGAAAAGTTGCAGATTCATCAGAAAGGAAGCGCTACCCACTTCGACGGAGGAAGATTGCTCTCCGCACATGAATTTCTCATTTTGTGTTTTCAGTTTGGAATCTCAGTTGTACTCTTGTTCCGTTTGCTCCATCGCTTCTCTTAAAACTCGTCTCAGTGCTGTGTATGGGAGCTTCCTTAATTAGTCTTCAATCCCTTGTATTTTGTATCCTTCAATATTTGTATTTTTACTGTCATGCTGATGGTGTATGAAAGCCTATGCATACCAGTAGCATCCAATATCTGGCAAATGTATCGCTGTTTAACTCTCATTTTTTGCTCTTATGTTGCAGCACTTAGCTTGAGTCCTTGCGCTTCTCAGAGTGCGTGTGCGTGCTTTATGTATGTGGGCAGTCTTTAGGAAACCACTGAACGCTCATTTACATTCAGCATGCCTCTAAAGAGGTTGGAGAATGTCTAGTTCTCCTAATGCACCTTCATTAATTACTGAGTCGTGTGGCTTTCATTTTAATAAATGAGTTCACACTGGACCATATTGAAAACACCAGATTTCATAGGATGTTGGAGTTTTTAGAAAATCCATGCACAAATGTGACACTGGTCCCTGCTATTCTACCTTTCCTGAATATAGGTGATTTAGGCTTATTTATAGTCATATTTGTTTAAACTTGGATTTTTAGTAATTGTATGTATTTACTTGCAGTGTGCTCTTCTAAATAGAAATTTAACCATCACCATTTTAGGGTGTGATGTTTCATGTCATGTAATCCAGTTATGCAGTCTGGGGGTTTCCTGGGCAGTGTGTCTACACATTACAGGATCTTGACTTGGGTCGTGTATGCATTTCTGATGTTTGACTAAACTCTAAAGATCAGTACAGGGTACCAGTAAATGGTATTCAGTTGAGCTTGCTCACTTTGGTTTTCTTTACCCATTAGTACCTAGAGGATTGCACAGTATTACTAGATTGAGCATTGTGCCTTAACTATTTATAAACTTTTCTGGTTTATAGTTTCATGTGCTTGCAGTACATACTCGTGTCTGATACTTAACATTCCTTACACAGTAAATGGAGGGGGTTTTTAGATGCTTTATTAATGAAATGTACTGTGATAAGAGGATAGGTCCAACCTGATGTTTGAGACTGAAAATTCTCAATAGAATGTCACAGATTTTAGCATCATTATTAGACTTTATATATGTAATCATATGTAAATATTTTTCCCGTCATTCTTGTAAATACAAATGTGTGTTTTTATATGAAGTAAATAAAATCAATTGAGGAAGATCAGAGTTTCAGATAACGTTGTCAGTTCTAATCCTGGAATAGATAGTGACTGAGCAGTGAGCGTACTTCAGAAGACATCTGAGTTAAATTCTGGCTTGAGTAACTGAAGTAGTTCCATTTACTGCCTTTGAACTCATGACTGTTATTGATCTCAGGGCTACAAAGCATCTAATGTAAGAGAGGACAGGATGTGAGAGGGACTGGAGGTGCAAAGCTGTGGAACGTGTGACTGAGACGGCTTTTCACACAGCAACTTGCTATTTTAGCTACTTTGAGTGCCTGTGCTCTGTGTGGCGTTGAAAATCCCCGCCATGGCTTTCTTCATCAAGATCCACCGGTACTCTTTGAGTGTTCCCAGATTAAGTGAGCCCTGCAAGATTTTGCATGGCTACCATTATAGTACTTGAACATTTTCTCTGTTAATAGGAAGAGTCTCTGCTCTTCTCTGTGCATAAGAGGTAAGTACAGAAAATAGGTGCATCTCTTTGAAGGAGTCCCATCACAAATGGCCAAGGTAGGACAAAATCCTTACAAAATACAGAGAGAGCACTGTGGATGAAGACTTAATAACAGAATTACTGGATTCACGCTACAGTGTGTGTTCATGTTTAGAGATTATGGGATAGTTGGTCTGTGCAGGATTTGAAATAAGTGGGAATGGATGCCCCAAGCTGGGGCAGTTGGGCTTTGTTTCATGGCCTTTGTTTCAACTATAGATGAGTGGAAAAAGAAAACAAATGCATCTGGAAACGCTGGCCAAATGAATAGTGTAAAGAAAGATAAACCAGTCAAGATTCTAAGTGCAACATAAAAACTATGAATTTAAAAATCTCTCGATGACTACTTTTGGCCAAGCAGCACTAGAAAGTGTCAGAGGACTTCCCTTTAAATGCAAGTTCTGTGATGAGTTAAACTGAACACTTGAATGTTCAGGTGGTTTTCAAATGGTTATTAAAATTTTCTACAGCCAGTGACACGTGCAGCTAGCTGTGCCTGGGGTCTGTTCTTCCCACTAGCAGAAATTCACAAAACACTTCATTTTTTCCCCATTCCAGTAGCCTTATGTCCTTCAGTTAACTTTTCATAGGAATTGGCAGTGTTGTGCAAGACGAGTGTCTAATCAGGCTTCTACTGAAATGTCACAACATCCAAACTTCTTATTTTTAACTTGGGGCGAATCAGTATTGCATCAAGAAATGTCTGGTAGTTTTTCTTTATATAGCCTTTGAATTTTGTAAGACAGCTCAATGGCGATGGATGCTTGGCAACATTTGCAAACAGGTTGCATTTCTCTGCCTTTTGGGGTGAGGCGGCACATCTCGCTGTTCGTTAGTATGCGCTGTCTGCGAGGTGCTTATTGCTGGTGAGGCTGGGCCATCCCCACCCGAGAAAAACTTGGAAATTGGAGCAGTATCCAAGCACACTTTTGCTGTGTATGGTTTCTGAACAAAGGGGATTACAAATGGTGCAGGGAAGCTCCTCTTCCGTAAATCTTCATGTGGACACTGACAGCACTCTGAGACCCAGTTCTGATCTGTGCCTTTCTCCAGAAGAGCCATGCTGTGCTAAGCTGCAATCAGTGACTCTAGTCTGTGTGTGTGTAGGCTGCTTCAGTGCAGACAAAATTCACTGATTAACTGCCATTATAGAATGTAAACTCAGCTGACTAGGCTGCTTTCTGGGTTTGTTTTCTCTCCTGCACAGAAACACTCCGCCTTTACTGCTGCACTACCTGGAATTACTGTGTAGGCATTTCTACAGATGTACCAGAGATAGCTTTAATACTAAGTAGAAACTTGTTCCCACAAGCAAATTTTGACTTGTCATTTCCTTTGCCATTTGTTCTGAACAAGAACAGACTATTCAGGCTCAAGGGTACTGTCCCCTGGCTTGTCCCGTACTTGTGGTGTCCTGGAAACCTTATTCTGGAGCTGCTGGCTGCACGCTTGGCAGCATTGCTCCTAGAACAGCCCAAGAGCTTCATGTGGGGTCAGTTCTAAAGTCCCTCTATGGAACAGGCTTTTTTTCCCACAGATCACACTGAAGGGCTGTTGAGGTGTTTTATCTGCATGGTTCATGGGTTTTATTGCAAAAGACTATACCTGTTCTCTGAGCTTACAAAAATACCAACTCCTAGTCCTGTTAATTTCAACTGTGCTTTAGCTACAAAGGCAGCAAGAGTTCAGTTGCTCCTTTTTATGTGACTGTCCTGATTGAGTCTCTGCTTGTGCCCGCTTTAATTGTATGAGGTGTAGTTAATGCAAAATTGGACTGTTTCACTGTTTCAAAGGAGCAGTTGAGAGCAATTCACCCTCTAATAACTCATTGCCTGGTGGCTAGGACTGCCTTCCGGGAGATGCTGGTTTGGATCCCCTCAGCTGGAGAATGGCACTGAACCCACACCTTCTGCCACCTCCATGAGCACCCCCTTGGTGAACATCCTGCTCTCGGCATGTTAGATGACAGAGGAAAGGAGAAAAGAAGCAAAAATTATTTTAAAGAAACCAAGGAACATCCTGTATCATGTGTGGGAGACCCAGTGCAGCCTGGGGATGTAGCTGAGGTCAGGGTATTTGGCAAGGGTGCCCATCCCAGTTGTGGTCCCCATGGCTATAAGGGTGGGAGAGACTCACAGCTTCTCAGAGCTCCTCTGGGATTGGAGGAGCTCTGAGAAAGTGCAAAAGCAAAGTTGTGGGTAGCCTGGAAGATGGAGACACAAGCTGCTTTGAGGTGGAACAGCTGGGGAGAAGTGCTTCCCACTAGGGAAGTCATGCTTAGGTCTTTCAGTCATCTGATGGTCCCAGAGCCTACCAGGAAACCTGTGGCAGAGTGCAGACTTTGGTTTGACTCTTGGACTCCTGGGCAGCACAGTTCTCTCACCTTCAGCATGAACTGTTAGCCAGATCTTCCTGAAAGGATAGTCTATATTTACTCACTTTTCAAACATATTAACCTCATCTTCATCTAAGCTAGATGACTCAGGCTTCTGAGGAAACCAGAAAAATAGGGAAGTATCTGATTTATTAAGATACCTGGGGCTTTATGACTGACTGCCCTGCAGTTTGGGGACGTGTACCCTCCTTGCATGGCCGTGTGTTTGCCCCTGTGAGTAGAGCACAACCAGGAGGGCACATTAGTTACAAATACTTCTGCGGTAGAGCAAGGATATTGTTGAAGTACCTGTCAGTGCAAACATCCCCTTCAGAGCAGAAGGCTAAGGTAACAATGTAATTAAAATGCGAGGAAGGTGTTCAGAAGGGTAAAAGAAACATTGTTAAGTCTGTTAAAATACTTGCGACAGAACAGTGAAACAGAGAGAATTTTGTCTGCAGCAACTGCGTTTTCAGCAGTCCGTCTGGCTTCGCCTTTACAAGAAGTCTGTGGCATTTCCTTATTATTTAAAGGAACAGGGCGAGTAGCGAAAGTGAAAATCTCTTTATCCCAGCACGGATGCCGTGTCCTCACGCCCACGACCCCGGGCTGAGCCGGCTGCCCCGTATCTGGAGCTCCCGCCGCGAGCCGATGTCTCAGGAGCGCGACGGGCAGGAGCGGTCGGAGGTGAGCCGGGAGCGGGACACACGGGGGGGCACAGCCGGCTCCCAGGGGGGCAGCCTGACCTCCCGGCACCGCCGCCGGCAGGAAATTCGGGGAGAAAGGAAACTGCGGGGAGCTTATTTCTTGCAGGCGAAAGAGCGAGTCGGGCCGCCCGGAGGGGCGTCGAGCCCAGCCGGCCCCAGGGGCCGGGGCTCTCCGGGGGATTTACAGGCAGCTCCTGCCCGGCAGCGCCGTGCCCCGGGGGTGCGGACTTTCCCCGGCTCCCGGGGGCTGAGCAGCCCCGGCGGTCCCGGGGACTGGGCACTCTTGCCGTCGCCGGGTCTCAGGCCCGGGGGTGGGCAGTGCGGACCGGGGGATCCGGGCGGTCCCGGGGTTCCCAGTTCCGCGGGCGCGGCGCGGCTCCCGGCGGGCGCCATGTGAGGGCCATGCGGGCTGCGGGGCGGCAGCTCCGCCCCCGGGCCGGGGGGTGCCGGCTGCCAGGTACCGGGGCGGTGCGTCCTCTGCCCTGTCCCGCCCCAGCCCGCCCTGTCCTTCTACTCTCTGCCCTGCCCTCCCCTCTATCCCACCCCCCGCGGGCCGGGGGAGCCCTGCGGGCGGCTCCGCAGCGGCGGGATGTCGTGCGCCGTCCCGGCGGCTGCGGCGGGGGCCAGCGCGCTGCCCCGGGGCGCGGCGGCCGAGGGCAGCCAGCAGGTAGGGCCGGGCCGAGGGGCTCTGGCTGCAGGCGGGCGGGCACATGGGGATGAGTCACGCCGGGCAGCGCCGCCTCGGAGGTGCCCGCTGCTCCTGGCCATCGGCACTTCTTTTCCCGGGAGGCGGCCGCGGTGCTGACTCTTCCAGGTGGGAGAGCGGGCGAACCGCCGGCGGTGCGCGGAAAGCTGCCAGCCGCCGGGGCAAGGCGCGGTCAGAGGCTTTTCCAGGGGCGCAGGCAGCTGGGAAGGGAGCTGGGCTGCCCCGCCGGCAGCGGGCGCGGGAGCAGCGGGAGCCCGGCTTCCCTCCGCGCTGCTCGTACCTCCGTCCCGCCGGCAGCGCTGGGGCGAAGCAGGTGTCAAGTGCTGCCTGCCGGGCAGGTCCCCGCCGCGGGTGACGGGAGTGCCCACGTTCCCCCATCAGCGGTAGCGCGTGTGCCCGCGGGGCTCTGCGGCTTCCCCCCGGGCAGCCCCGCGGGCTTCCATCCCTCTGCCTCGGGTCCCACCTGTGCAGTGGGGCAAGGGGATGCTCTGCCCTTTGCAGTGACTGTGGGATCAGTGGCATGCCGGTGAAATTTAGAGTATATGCTCGTTCTCAGAAACAGTTGCACGCCTGAATTAGGGTATCTCCATATGCACCTTAAAAACTAACAAAATGTTTCTGGCTGATGTGTTCCAGAGTCATGAAGAAGATGACAGGAAGGTAAGGAGGAGAGAAAAAAATCGAGTTGCTGCACAGAGGAGCCGGAAGAAGCAAACTCAGAAAGCAG